CTGATTGTTGAGCTAGGGCTGGGCCTGGAGCTCCCAGACCCATCAAGCCCCTTCACAGACTGGGCCACAAACCCCTCATATGCCAGGCTGGGTCACCAACCCCATCATGCAGGTCTATGAGCTAGGTAACCAGCCAAAAGGTCCTTGGAGCCGTAGGTTGGAAAGCATGTCTGCACCAGGCAGACGCTCAAGGCAGACACCCAACCGCCTGCTTCCCTCAAACTCCTGTCTACACTCTCTCTCTCCTTCTCTCTCTCTCCTTTTCTCTCTCTCTCTCTCTCCTTCTCTCTCTTTCTCTCTTGGAACACAAGAATAGCAACCAAACTAAAGATACATTGGTGCACATGCAACTAACCACACACACACACACACACACACACACACACACACACACACAAAATTTGCTTACAAAGGAAGCTGAACCACACCCAACTGGACCCAAAGTGAGAACCCTGACCAAACTATTCTATTTTCCCAACACTGTATAAGGGGTATTTTTCAATGGTGGCTGACTAGCATCTGAACCCCGTTTCAATTAAATCTCCACTTTATGGGTGATGGTGGAGGCAGTATCTAATTCCCATTATAGATGCTAAAATCCGAGATTTTCTCCTTGGCTTTTCTGGCATTATGGTACGGGTACATGATGTAGGCTTGACCTGGTTTTTAATCTGGACCTGGTGATGCAAAGAAGCAGTGTCAGAAGGCCAGTGTTCAGGGCTGGTTCTGTTAATAGCAGTGTTGAGTGTTCAGTGGACTGGTTCTGTGTTGCGACTGTGCCTGTGGTTTTGGCTTTGTTCTTGCCCTTTTTCTAAGTCTGGTTCTCGAGTTTTCTGAGTGACTCTGTGAACTACCCAGTGTCCATTCAATAATTTCAGTCAGAGTAGATTTCTGTTGCTTGTACCTAACATCCCCACTCGATACATTTTACCTCTATGCCTGTTCCCCACCCATTCTCTCACACAGCAGGCAGATTAAAGAGAGTTGAGATGTCAGGAAGCAGAGACAGCATGTTTAGGTAACATGGTAGGATGCAGAAGTGGGAATTGACAATAGTATTTCTTATGAGGGGCAAGATGATGAACTGGTTGTGAATAGTAAGATGTAAGAAAGAGTCCAGACTCACTCCCAAGTCTCTGCCTTGAGCAATCAGTGGTATGAGATGATTTTTGCTGAGATGGAGTATATAGGAAGAGGAGGAGAGTTTCGTTTGGGGGGAGCAACAGAGGTGATAAGTTTAGTCTGGACACACTGAATTCGAGGTGACTCTAAGATGCCCACGCGGTCATATCTAGTTGGCAGGTGGACAGGAAGCTTTTGATGTCTCCTACTTCCCGCACAGCTGTTTCCCATTGTGGACAGCACCTTCTTCATCTCTGATTTAACTGTCAATACAAATTCATCATTTTCCTTCTCGTTCACTCCTTTTCTAATACGATTCTGAATGTATTCCCTTTTGATGGTATCTTTACTATTATTATGGGATTTGGGAAGAATCTGGTGCTAGAAAAATAGAAAATAAAAAAGAGCAATTTACTTCTCCTTGCCTAGTTCCCATTGTAAAGGTATTTTTCCCTTTGTAATTAACAAGTAATCTGTGGGGCGATATTTGCAGACCAGGTAGATACCTTATTCCCCCAACAATACATGTGTTTCATGCAGTGGTTTTAATGTTTATTGATGATCCTTGTCTGAATCAAAAATATTATATTGAGGGCTGCAAAATGATAATTTCCTAATTCAGTCATTTCATCTATATTTATTAATTGACATTCTTCTGAAAAGAAGGGCTTTCCCTTTTGTGGAAATTTAAAATGTTAACTTACAAAAGCTTTAAAATGAGAAAGGAAATTGTATGAATTTAGTACACGATTTTTTTATATTGCAAACTTTACCTTACTCTGTGATTTTTTAAAACATAAGCACTTATTTAAAAACATATCTGTAATTTAGTTAATTTTTAAGTCACACTAGCAATCACAGATAGAAGCTGCCATCCCTGCCCTGTCAAGCTAGCCTCATTCTTCTCTAAATTTGCAAAATGATTAAATGGGGTTGCAAAAGATGAGGCAAGTTAAAACAAACAGAATAGCTTTGCTACAGTTTGGAAAAAGAACTAAGGATAGCTAGGTCACCCTGCCATGCAAATATTTGTACTGTAAATGCAACTCAGGAGAATAACAACTTTTTCGTGTTGTTGGATAAATACAAATTAGTGTGGAATGAAGGAGTTGCCCTCACTCCTTTCCTATCCTCACTCCTGCTTTGGGAAGGGAGGTTCTTTTAATATGCTGAGAGGCAGTTAAAATTCAAATTAACTAGAGAAACGTTTCCCATCTGAATTCTCTAAGTCCTGAGGTATATCCAATGCTAGACACAAGCAGAGGGTACTAAGTCTTCATAAGGGAGGAAAACAGGGCAAGACGGGACTGGAGAGTGTCCATCTGAAGCGACCTGGATATGAACAGAGACGGAAAAATAAGTGTTCTGCACCATTCTCTGGATTTTCTGAGTATTTTTGATGGCTACTAATAAAATCGATTTTATTAGCACACAGTGATTTGACAACGTGATCCAACCTGAATACCATTGCAGACTTTGAAAGGTGACAGCAGTGAGGTTACAAATAAATCCAAGCTTCTGGTGGAAGAAGAAAAGAAATGTTTGTCAAACCAAACAAAAATAATAGAACTGAACATTAGCAATGTACACATTCCAAACTATAAATATCATATGAACTTCATTACAGATGGATACAGCCTCTTTTTTATTTTAATGCAGCTCTTCGGGAATCCTGGCTTTCTACAACTCCAAGGGCTGCCTTTTGTGTTGTGTAACTCGTGGGAGCGAGAGGAGCATCATTCACATAAGTGAGTGTGAATGGTGCCCCCTGTTGGAAGTCACCTGAATTTCCTATTGAGGTGAAACCATCTCTGCTTTAAGGAAAAATTCAGTGTCTAAAGTGGATTATAATAAAGTCCCTCTTTCAGCTTTAGTTTCTCCACTCCAGATTATTGCGCCAGCCATACTGAACTACTTAATGTTTTCATACTACTAATGTTTTGTTCCAGCCACACTGAATTAGTTAACATCCAGCTTATTGCCAAACCCCTTTTTTCCCACCTCCTGGGGCTTGCACAAGTTGTTTTCTTTGCCAAATTCTTCCCCACTCCCCTACTCATTGACTAAATTCTCCTCTGTCGGGCCTAGGATGAGACATCACTTCTTCTGGGAAAACTGTCCTTAACAAGTTGTTTTCTTTGCCAAATTCTTCCCCACTCCCCTACTCATTGACTAAATTCTCCTCTTTCGGGCCTAGGATGAGACATCACTTCTTCTGGGAAAACTGTCCTTAATAATAAAATAACTAAAACATACTGAGAATTTACTATGGGCTAGGCACTGTTCTAAGTTCTTTCACATACATGAACTTTTATCATTATCAGAAAAACTGTAGGAAGCAGGCATGATTATCCCCATTTCATAGACGAAGAAACTGAGGCACGGATTGAGGGAATTTCTAAAATAGTATTATAAAGATGGACCACGTGTGGTGAAGAAAGGAAAAGATAGGAGGGAATAATAATGAGAAAATGGCAAGAACAAGGGACTGGAGGACACAAGGAAGTTCAGAATTATGCTGGGATGGGGATCTTTCGAGCAAGCACTTTGCTGAGATTAGAGGGTTACAGTAAAGGAGACTCAGTGAGTGCACTGGAGATTTCCGGAACTAGTGCAGCCACTGATGGTCCAGGGCATACTTTGGAAATGGGAGGCTGGAATGAAAGGTGTCCTCGCTTAAAAGTAAAAATAAAAATAAAAAAAAGCAGTGTATTTTCCTAGCATGCAGCACAGTATCTGCTAAATTCTCTTAAAATATCTGCTGAATATATGTATTGAATGCAGCACTTTTAGGCAAATCCGAACTGAAGTCTCTGCAAATGTTTCTTGCTTTAGCTTTCCTGGACCAGCCAGAGGAATACTCTCTGCCCAGGATTCACAGCTGGTCTCGCTTCCTTAACCTCAGGTGGCAGCTGGAGCCCAAACTGCGTCCGCCCTGAACTTCCGCCACGTCCGGCCGGCCTGTTCGGTCCCCGAAGAAGAGAATCCACCTCAGAAATAGCCATGCAAAGAGAAGCGTGCTACGAGGCACACAAGATCAAGGCCAGCAGCAGAAGTGGGGAAGGCTGGTGACAGCGCTCCGTCCGTCCCTCGGGTCGTCCTCTGACCCAGACCCCCAAAGAGCGTGTCTCGGAGGGAGGTGTCCACAGCTTCGCCTCCGAGAAGAGAAAGGCCCTGCGGACAGCTGCCGCAGGCCCCCCCGCTTCCCGCAGGCCCCGCCCCCCAACTTCGCCAGCGTCGCGACCGGAGAGCAAAGGCTGGAAACCTCGCGGGCAAGGTCTCCCTAAACCCGCGCGCCCCAGCGGCCGAGGCGGCCAAGGCGGCGGGAAGCTTCTCCCCGCCCCCCAACCGCCCCGAGGAGGGGCGTGGCCGAGACAGGCCCCGCCCACGCCGCGCGCGCTGCCCCTCGGCAACCGGCACAACACAACAAAATGGCCGCCGCGCCTCCGGGAGCCTGAGGGAAAGAACTCGCGCGTCTCTGCCTCGCCTCGTTCCGCGGGGCTGCCCGGCTCGGCTCGGCTCCTCGGCGGTGAGTAGCAGACCTGGTCGAGGCCGTCCTCTGGCGTCCGGACCCTGGTATAGGGGCCGGCGGCAAAGGCGGGAAGGCCCGGACCGAGCGTGGGGTGGGCCGGCTCGGGGTGGATTCGGGGCGGGGGCCTGTGTCTGGGAATTGGGATTGGATGGGAAGGAGGGGAGGGCCCGGAACGAGCGTGGGAGGTGGTTGACGGAGCGAGGTTTGCAGGAGAAGGTGTGAGGAGGGCGGGGGCAGGTGTGGAAGTTGCGGTGCGGCGACGAGAAGGATGGGGGTCCCCTCCTTCAGGGAGGGGCTGGCGGTGGCAGGTGACGGTGGAATGACCGGGATAAAGGATGGTGGTATCCTGAGGGGTATCACGGGATCGGTACGGTACGTGCAGAAAGATGAGAGTTACGATGTTGGGACGAAACGCTAAAAGAAGGGGAAGAGCAAATAGTCTTAAGGGATGAAGGGATTTTGAAGCCGAACAGACGTGGGATCAATTCTCGATTCTGCCACCTTGTGATACTTAACTGCGTCTGTGACTCTGGGCATGTTCCTTAACCTTTTCCTCATTTGTAAAAATAATTACTAATCACTTTTGAGTGTTCGCCGTGTGTCAGGTGCAGTTCTAAGTACTTTGCATACATTAACTCATTTAGAATTTAAAATAATTTGTGTGAGGTTATGGTCTCCATTTAAAAAGTGACGGCACTAAGGTTAATTAATTTGCCTAATGTCACCGTTAGTAAGTGGAAAATCAAGATTTTAACTCAGGCTCTCTGGTTCCAGAATCTAAGTTCTTAACTGTTGGTGATACATTGCTACTTATAAATGAGATTAATAATTCTGATTTTATACAGCATCTGTGAGGATTTAATCTCGGTAATATGTTTAGTGTTTGGCACAGTCCTTAAGTATTATTGTTTACAGAACAACAGAGTCCCTGCTCTTTTGTAGTTTATAGTCTAGAAGGAGAAATGGGCAGTGATCAAGTAGTTTTATAAATAATTATTTAATTCCAACTGCTATAAATGTAATGAAAGAGACTACTTGGTGCAGAGACCATGTATATTAGGGAGATACAATCCTTTTGTGCATCTTGAGTGTAGAATCCCTGCCTTCTCAGCTGTGGATTCTTAGAGCCTAGCACAGTTCTTGGCACATAAAAGCTGCTCAATAAAATTGAATAACTAAATTAATGAAAAGGGATGGGAAGCTTGGGTTTTAGGGTATCCGAATAGAATGAGAGAGACGGGAGAGGGGAAGTCAGGATGTTAATAGGGTGGAGAAGGACACAGGGGCCAGGGTGTTAGAATAGAAAGGCAAGTAGGTAGGCATGCTATGAGAGGAGTTCTGGATGGTTTGTGTTTTGAGAATTTGGAGAGAAGACTAAGATGCAGGATATAAAATAATTGCATTGCATAAAAACATTGGATACTTTCTTAAGCCAAAAAATTTTTTTAAGTATGAAGTATGTAGCACACACTGTTATTCCAATTTTGTAATCTTCTATCATGCTACTGGATGGAGAAGGATGTAAAAAAGTGGGACTGGGCTCTGTTCCTCCCCTCTTTCACTTTTTAAATTTCTTGCCTTTATGAAAACTACATGCTATAGTGTATGTCATCCATTAACCCATTTAACTCAGTAATAAATAAAATTTTACCTTTTTAAGTAGATGCCTCTTAGTTCCTCTCATGTTTGAGTATTATTTAGAAGGAAGCAATCAATTCTGCAACAGCTAACACCAGCTGGGTGTCCTCTAATTCAGCTCAAGTCTGATCCGACACTATCTACCTGGAGATAGCATCAGATCCCACAGGCTGAGGGCTCAGTCCCACAAGACTGCCCCCTACTTCTGATTCCAATCACAAGCCCCAGGTTGTTTTATCTGTGCTTCTGACCAACTGCCTATAAATTGGAAGTCCCACTATCCCCTCCTTGGGTTTGATTAATTTGCTAGAGCGGCTCACAACTCAGGGAAATACTTATGTAAACATATTATAAAGGATACAAATGAAAAGCATGGGGCAAGGTATGTGAGAAGGGCATGCCCTCCCAGGGAGTGCCATTCTACAGGTACTGCTACATGTTCGGCTATCTGGAAGTTCCCAGAACCCAGTTTTTTTGGGTTTTTATGTAAAATTCATTACACACGCATGACTGATTAAATCAATGGCCATTGGTGATCAGCTCAATTTTCAGTCCCCTCCCTTTCCCGGAAGGTTGAGAAGTAGGGCTGTAAGTCCCAATCCTCCAATCATAGCTTGGTCTTTCCAGTGATCAGCCCCCATCCTGAAGTTTCCTAGGGTGGCCAGTCAGTCAACTCATTAGCATATAAAAAGACACATCACTTTGGAGAGTCCAAGGATTTTAGAAGTAATATGCCAGGAAATGGGACAAGACCATATATATATATATTTCACAATATCACAGTTACTAAAAGATTTTTTTTTTACGGCAGAATGATGTGATATAAGACAAAAATTGTTTACCATGCTTTTGAAATTAGGACAGAAATCCTTGTGGCAATGGCATAAGAGAGCAGTTATGTGAATTGGGGGGAAATTTTTTTGACACATGTATATAGTTTAATATGAGAAAATAAAGGAAAAAGTACAGACAGGTATAAGTTAGTAGTTTAAAGTAGCAAATTAGGATATTGGAACAAGGCAGTTGGCGATATTGTAATGTATGACTGTGAAATAATACCAACTTTTTAAAAACAAATGTGGCAGGTTTTTGTTTCCTTCAAATTCGTCACCTTAAGAGGCCAGATCATAATTTCAGTGATCCTATCTTGTATAAAATTTTCTGGTTTTCCTTCAGGAATTGTTTTTATGGTGTATGTCATCCATTAATTCAAGTCATTAAGTGGCTTTCATTTATGGTCTGTTTTGTGTAAAGTGTCATGCTAGGCCCTAGAGAACAAAGCAAACATAATCTGGACTCCAGAAAACTCAGTCAGACAGATATAGATACAGATATTTGAGGCTGGTCAGTAAGGGGATCCAATCTCTTGACCTTGATCTTATAATAATGTCAGTCAACTATATTGAAGAGCATGGGTTTTGGAATCAGATCAGGATTCAAGTCTTGGCTTAACCAATTATTTATAGAACTTTGGACAAATTATTTAACCTCTTCATCTGTAAAATGGGAAATTACACCTATCTCATAAGTAGTTGTATTCAGTTCTTTCAATGTGATACATATATAAAGAGCTTATCACAATATTTGGTACATGATTAGCCCTCAGTAATTATTAGCGCCTAGCATTATATTCTTTAGAATTAACTTTAGTGGTAGCAAGTCATCATCTTTTCAGGGAGGATTTGATTTTTGGAAGTAGCCAAAATTCATTTGGAATCAAGTTTACTGAATCAGGGTAGTGGTGATGGGTCCGATTTTCTTATGAGACTTATAAATTAGTTCTGAAAGAAGGAGCCAAAGAAATCCATAAATGGCTTGGGCAAGATCATCATTCCTAGAATTACTATATGGTCATTAAAAGGTATTTCATTGGCTAAATGCTGGTTAATTGATTGAATATATTAATGAATTATATTAATGGAAACTCTCCTTTATATAAACTGTCTGTATATGCTCCAGCCATTTAAAAAATAAGTTTCTTTAGAATCTCAGCCTGTATAATAATACCCATATGCCCGTGAAGTTGTATATTAATAGACATGGGAAAAACCCAAAGTGTTTTTCCTCCTGTCACACACACAAGTATTCTTCTCTTATAGTACTTATGTTATCAGATGTGTGGGGGTTGTTTCTCCACACACTAAGCACTTCTCCAGGGGACACCAGCTGGGTATCTTCTTATTCAATTCAGTTCTGACACTATTTGTCGGGGGATAGAGTCTGATCCCATGGGTTAAGGACTCATTCTCACAAGACTGCCACCCATTTCAAATGCTAATCACTAATCACAAGTAGTAGGTTGTCACCTCTACTTCTGGCCACTAGCTATAAATTGGGTCTCCCACTACTTTCTCCTTGGGTTTGATTAATTTACTAGAATAGCTTACAGAATTCAGGGAAATAGTTTTCTTAACATTTATTCATTTATTATAGAGGATATTACAAAGGATACAGATGAAACAGCCAGATGGAAGAGATGCATAGAGCAAGGCATGTGGGAAGGGGCACGAGGCTTCGCCTCTCCAGCATGCCATCCTCTAAGTACCTCCATGTGTTCAGCTACCCAGAAGCTCTCTGGTCCCTGTCCCTTTGGGTTTTTAATGGAGTCTTCATTACATTGGCATAATTAATTACATCATTGGCCATTGGTGATCAACTCAACCTTTAGCCCCTCGTCTCCTCCTTGGAGGTTTGGGGGTGGAACTGAAAGTCCCAACCCACTAATCATGCCTTGGTCTCTCTGGTGACCACCCCTCATCCTGAGGCTATCTAGGGGCTACCAGTCATCTTATTCACACACAAAAGACACTCTCATGTGTCTGGAGATTCCAGAAGTGTTAGGAGCTGTGTGATAGGAAACAGGAAGAAGACCAAATGTATACATTGAAAGAAAAACTTTTGACAAGGTAAATTTAACAGTGTAATTGGGCAAAGAACAGTTCACAAATTGGGCAGCCCTCAGAACCAGAAGAGGTTCAGAGAGCTCTGCTCTGCAACATGGGAAGGCAGCATTTAGGGACAGAAAAGGGAACTGAGGTACAGAAACAGCTTGATTGGTTATAGCTGGGGCATTTGCATTATTTGAACATGGTCTGATTAGTTGGCTGTCTGTGATTGACTGAAACTTGACAGCTGTGATTGGCTGAGACTTGGCTATTCGTTACAAAGTGTACTCCAAAGTTAAGCTTTCAGTTACTTTACCTAACAAGTTAGGTGGCAGTTAGTTAAGTAGATACTCAAAGTACACAGCTAGCCTTAGGCCAAATTTAGTTTATCATATATATTTCACAATGTCATATATATGAAGATGTTTACATATCACTCCATTACAATATCCCTTTCTAATATCAATTTATATGGCATTAAGACTTGAGCTACCCCAATCCTTGGATTGAGAACTACTTTAGCTGGCCTTACAACGGCCCACTGAGTTCCCCTTTGCCCTAGCTGGTGGGGAGGAGGCCCTAGCATGAGATGTTGCATTCCTAGCTGGGCAGAGGTAGTGCCCCTAGTATAGTGAACCATTCAGTCACCCCCAGAACAAGAGGTGTTCCTAGACTGGTCAGTGTAAGGCTCACCTTCCTGCCCCCCAAAGTGGTTTATTGTTGGAATGAGAAGAGAGCCAGGTTCTGAGTATATGAAAACATTGAGATCCTAGAAAACTTTGAAAGCACCCAAAATAACTGATCAAGAGCCCCAGATGCCTTTTAGGCTGGAAGGGGAATGAATTGCAGTGTTGCACCCGAAAGAAGAAAATGGTTGGAAACTGAATGTTCATTCGTGACCCACACAACCTTAATAAATGCATCAGCTATCTCTACAAACACTTTAACTGACATGGGAAGTACTGGTAGAAGAGAGAGCTGGGAACTGTGAAAGAAGTACATGTATCACCCTGGAGAAGGGGAACAGTACTTTTTCCTATGAGGAAAGGTCTGTGTATGCTCTCTCTAATAAAATGGGGCTTCTTCGGAATCAGACATCCACACTTTCATTTTTCTCTAAATGCTGTTTCTACTCATTCATGTAGACTATGAAGTCTGACTCATCCCTGAGTCGTAGGGTCTTAGGCTTGAACTTTAACACTTGCCCTTTACGGCCTAGCTATACCTATGGCCTTTAAAAAAAAAAGATGGTGAGAGTACTTATCATTGGCACTTTTTGACATTGAAAGTGGTAATTTTTAATTGCCCCATAATGCAGTTATGTTAAAAGCATTTCTAAAGACCCTTCCTCCCTGGAATGAAATGTAATATAAAAATGCAATTATACTTCTGCACTACTGTCATCAAAAATACTTATTAAGTATCTTCTCTGAGTGGGAACTATAGGAAAAACAAAAAAGATGTAAGCTGTCCTCCCCATTTTGATATGATGCATTAAGTGCCAATGAGTGGTATTGATGGGGGATACTAGCCTGACTGGTCATCAGAATCATCTGGATAGTTTAACATTTCAAAAGCCTGGTCCCACCCCCTAAAAATTGTGATCAGTAAAGCTAAGCCGAGTCTTGGGCATCTACACATTTTGTTTTTAATAATTTTAAAAATTATCCATAAAAAAATGAAAACTACTTTAATCTAATATCCTATTTCACTAAACTTTTTTCTCTAAAAAGTAATTTGTGTTTTGCCTTCATATTTTAACAGCGAGAGTAGGGGAAATACAGATATTTAGCAAAAGTAGGATCATTGTTAATGCAGCCTTGCTCAAGATCTATACCTCTTAATAAGATTTTTTTTGTCTAAAAGTTAGTCAAATCTATAATTTTTGCATCATTTTTAGACAAAATGTATTTATAAGAGCAACCATATATCATGACATCTTTTTTGCATAAGCCTAATCTTGCAAATTGGGACTCTTGGTGTTGAGGACTAATACTGTTTATGAAGACTGTCATCATTACTATTGCTAATAACGACTTGCTAAGCAAGTCATTTACCATTCTGAGCCTTAATTTTCTTATATGAAAAATAAAAGAATTTGACCAAGGTCCCTTTCATCAATAAATGCTTTAGTTCCTTCTGGAATACATACACTTCAATAAAATTTGTTTTGTGGACAAGCAATTGTAGGCACTGGAGTTTGGAGTGACCAGATGTCTTTCGTACAGCATGAGATGAGATGAACATGAGTGAATTCCAGAAATATAATGTTTAGCAAAAGAAGGCAGATTTAAAAGACATTGTATGATTTCATTTATGTAAAGTTCAAAAATAGTTTTAAAATCTCTGGTGTTGGCAGTCAGGATAATGATTACCCATGTGTTGGTGGTTAGTGACTAGAAGGGGGCTCGAGAGGGCCTCTGGGGTTCTGATCATATTCTGTTTCTTCATCTAGATGCAGTTTACATACCTTGTACTCACTGTATAGAAATTCATTGAGCTGTACACTTATGATTTGTACATTTTGTATATGTTATACTGCAATAAAAGCATACTCACATATACATACAGTGAGAGAGAAAGAGGGAGTACACATATGTGAGACCACACTATTGAAAGTATAATTTCTAAACAGATTGACTTCTAGTTGTAAGATGTTAGGTACATTCATACCTTCGAGCTTCTGGGAATTCAGAGATTATCCCTCCACTCATGGATATTGCATTCTGGGCAAGCAAAAAATATATAGTAGAATAAGGTCTCTGATAGAGGTATATTCATTGTGATAAGCAGGGAGAATTAGTTCTACCTGAAGGAAGTGGATTTCTGAAAAGCCTTCACCAATAAAGTGACATTTTGGTTGGTAGAGAGGTAGAAGAAGACACTATTTTAAGGAGAGGGAATTTCCTGAGCAAAAACCCATGATATGGTCAGGTAATGATAAAAAAGATGACTAGAGTATAGGGTGGATGGTAGGGAGGGATAAGAGATTAGGCCAGAAAGTTAGGTCCAGATTGTGATAAGTTCCGTGTATGGCACTGAAATGTTTAGACTTACAGGCAGTGGGAACCACCAAACTTATTTTGTTTTTATGAGGTAAGTGGATCAAAGATAAAGGATGGATTAAAGGTAAGGCAAAAGAGGATTGAAAGGAAGCTGGTTAGGAGAGTATCATAGTCTAAGCAAGAGATGATAAATGTTGGATCTAGGGCAGTAGCTATGAAGATGGATAGAGATGAATTTAGAAATATTTCAGAGGCAGAATGAAAATCTTGATGGGTGAGAGAGAGGAACGAGTGGAAGATAAGTCCATTCATTTATTCATTCAGCAAATTATTGAGTTCCTGCCAGATGGCAGACACTATGCTAGACTGGGGAGACAGTGGTAAACAGAGAAGCTCTCATGGAGCTTATAGTTCAGTGGGGGAGACAAATGTTAAGCAAAATCACATAAATGTATAATTGCATACTGTGATTGTTTGAGGAAAAAATACAAGTTGATAGAGAATATAGAACTGGGGATTTCACTCAGTCTGCCCTACACTGAAGGCTTTCCTGAGGAAGCAGCAGTTCAGCTATCTCTGAAGGAAGACTAAAAATTAACATGGTGAAAAGAATAGGGGCAAGCATTTGAGGCAGAAGGAATTGTGTGGAGGCCAGTGTGACTGGAGCCCATGGTCGAGGGAATGAATGATGGAGATGAGTCTAGATAGACAGGGTCAGATCATGGGGGACTTTTCAAGTCATAGTAAATATTACAGACTGCTAGATTTACTTTTTAGATAGGTCATTCTGGCTGGCTGATTGTAATGTAGTGATGGAAGAGGAAGGCAAGAGAGCTTGTAGACAGATCAGTTGGAAGCTATTATGGTAGTTTGATGAGGAATTGGATTAGAGTGGATGACAGTGGAAATGGAAGGAAGTAGACTAATTTGAAAGATATTTAGGAGTAAGAACTAATAGGACTTAGTGATTGATTGGGTATGGAAAAAGGGAAGAGGGAGGTGTCAAGAGTGACTTCCAGGTTTCTGGCTTATTCCAGTGAGCACCATTCACTAGTTAGGGAATAATGCAGGAGGAACAGGATAAGCAGAACGTGAAGAAGGAATGGGGTAAATGATAAATTCAGTTTGGACTGAGTTTAGGATACCAATGAGATACTAACTAGGCAATTGGGAATAGGAGTCTGGAGCTCAGAGAAGGGTCAATTGAAGATATACGTGGCATTGGGAGCTATGGGTATGCATTAGATTGTCCGAGGTGAGCATAGAGAGAAACTAGAACGGAGCCTTGAGGACTCTGACATTTAAATTAGGCTGAATAGAGGATTATGGGCCAGCAAAGGAGGTCATGAAGTGGCTAAGGAGGCAAGAAGATACCAGGAAAGTGTGGACTGTTTCAGGAAAGAGGGAGTTCACATCAGTATTAAATACTTCTGGTTGCCAAATATTCACAGCTTCCTGCATTCGAGGGCCTCTTGTGTGTGTGTGTGGAAGGGCCCTTGTGACTAGTTTGGTCCAATAAACTAAGAATAGAATGACAAGTAACACTTCTGGCTGGAGCATGTGTCACTACTAGACCCTCTAGAGGTCTCTTTTCCTCCTGGCGGAGAGTGATCAGTGATATTTGAAATAGTGTCTGCTCCATTGGCTTAGAATAGTATGGGTCCTAGCATCTATAGCCTCTGACTTTGCAACTTTGTAATCTTGAAAGTTCTAGAAATAAATTAATAGTTTCGATAGCTCTAAAAATATTAACTTTATTAAATATACTAAAAACTCTTACAGGATTTGATAGACACCAGCTTGATTCTTGCAATGAAGAAAGGTCCTCAACAAAAATTATTCTCCAAAGCCAAGATGCTGCCGTCATTTCACTCTCCTAGTCCATCATCTCCTATGTCCAATATGAGATCTAGGTCACTTTCACCTTTAATTGGATCTGAGACTCTGCCTTTTCATGCTGAGAGACAGTGGTGTGAACAAGTCGAGATTACTGATGAAAACAATATGCTTTTGGACTACCAACACCATAAAGGTATCACTTTTTAATCTAAAAATTTGTTTGACCACATACTCTTAAATAGAGATGGAAATACTGAGCTTACATTTCTGGTCCAAATGTAACATCTAGTCTGGTACAAACTTGAGCTATTGTTTTTATTGACAGAAATTGTGTAAGGACAGTGAGAGGACTGAGGCTTCTGGGTGAGGGCGAAAATGTCTGAAAGAATTAGGGAAGGGGAGTTTCCAGAAAGAGGAAGCTTTATTTTGTGTGGTAGGAGAGTGCCTTAAAGCTCATACTCCAAAGTTGCCATCCTCCGTGGTTAGGGGGAAGGCATATTTGTTCACTTCAGAGTGGAATGCCTTAATTCAATGTAAAAAAAGTTCTTCGCACTTGGGCTATGCCAGTCTGCTTGTTAGCAAATTGCTTGTCTGTGAATGGACTTATTTCCCCACACATGGGACATATGTATGTTCTACCAACATTTAATTTTTTTCTTAAAAGCATTCTGTTATTCTGAAAATTTATTTTCAAAAGTGTATTATTCTTTGCTAAGTCATAAAATCACAGTCATCAAACTTTATTGATCTGAATATCTGATCAGTTTTTATTAATAAACATTATCAACATTGAATTTATTCTATACCTTTGCTGCCACTTGGTATATGGTTATTTCTAATTTGATAAATATTCTAGAATATTAGTTGTTTCCTTTCCTAGAACAGACCAAATTAAAGAAAAAAATCATTTTATTTTGAACCAAAATAAATTTAATATTAACTTATAAATAAACATAGGGAATCTTTGGCCCATGGTCTGGATCTGAACCTGGGATTAATTTTTTTCTGACTCATAAAGCAAGAACCAAGAGGCAATTTTCTTTTATGGCTGCTTTTGTGAAATGTAGTATGTCTTTAACAATCTTTGACAGCAATGTCCAGGAAGGTCATAAGACAGGATGTACTATCCATCAAGTTAGTACTTCATCTCTATGAAATGTGTTGTGATTCTCTCAATGTAAAACAGCAACAAATTTAGAGTTTTGCACCATTTAATAAAATAGGAAAAGAGGATTTTTAAGAATTTCAGTGTCTCTGAACTTTAGATTGGAATTTTTTTAAAAAGCGAACTGAATAGTGCCAGTTTATTTTTACAGTATGTACTCTTTTTTTTGAAAGCTGGCTGGTGCAGGGATACAAACCCTTGACCTTGGTGTTATCAGTATGCACTCTAACCAAGTGAGCTAACCGGCCAGCCCTATTTTTAAAAACTAAAATGAAGATATTGCTAAAAACTTCAGTGCTGCATATGGTTAAAAGTGCAAGTTGTTTACTACATTAGTCATAAACTATATAACACCAACACATTGTAATAGAAAACTTGATCTCTTTAATTGGAGAAAATAAAACTTAAGATTCCTATCATGTCATTCACAAAAATTAATTCCAGAAGAATGAAGAGCTAAATGAAAATAAAGCAAAACAACAACAACAAAAAAAAAAAACAACCAACAAAAATGCTATGAAAATATTAGGAAAGAATATAGGAGAATATTTTTAAAATCTTAGAAGGGCCTCCGAAGCAAATACTAACCTTAATACCACAAAGAAAAATATTGACCGATTTAGCTTACATAAGATTTAAAAGTTGTGTTAAATGAAAGACATCTTTTAAAAAGGTGAAAGAAAAGCAACAAACCGGCAGTAGTGTTTGCAACATAAGATCTCCTACAACTCAGTAAGAGAGACAACACAATGGAAAACATGCAAAGGATATGAACAGGCAGTTCAAAAAGTACTACAAATGGCCAATATTAACTTGAAAATGTGTTCAATTCATCAATATAAAAGATATGTGAAATAAGACAATAGTTTAATGCCATTTTTCATCTTGTACATCAGAAGGACAAGACTTAAAAAGATTAATTATTTCAGTGTTCAGAAAGTGTGGGAAATGGGTATTCTCATGTTTTTAGTACACATATATTGGCAAAGCATTTTAGGAAGATGGTTTGGTAGTATTTTCAAAATTTCAAATCTTTTTATACTTTGATCAGCAATTGAATTTATACTCACCAACCCAGCAATTCTCTTCCTTGATGTCTATTTTCCTCATATTATTTGCACATGTATACAAAAATGTCAATATAGTAATGTTTATTAAGCATTATTTAAATAGAAAAATTGGAAATAATTAAGTGTCAATAGGGGATTGGTTAAATAAATTGTGGTACAGTATACATGAAATACCAAGTTTTTTTAAAAAAATGAGTTAGAGCTATATGAGGGTACTTTGAAAAGTTCATGGAAAAATAGAAGGAAAAGATGATATTAATCTTGCTGTGAATTTTTTTAAAGACACCTCTTATGTGTTAACATGGAAAAATATCCATGGTATATTCAGTGAAAAAAAGAAATTCTAAAACATTTTGTTTAGTGTGGTCTCAAAATATGTTTAAAAATTCTGTTTTTCTGTATGTGTATATATAAATGTAAGTGAATATAAAGGTCTGGATGTATATACACCAGCTTCTTAACAATTGTTACCTTTGAGCAGTAGAATACAGGGTGATAAGGGTATTGTTACCTTTGAGCAGTAGAATACAGGGTGATAAGGGTATTGTTACCTTTGAGCAGTAGAATACAGGGTGATAAGGGTATTGTTACCTTTGAGCAGTAGAATACAGGGTGATAAGGGTATTGTTACCTTTGAGCAGTAGAATACAGGGTGATAAGGGTATTGTTACCTTTGAGCAGTAGAATACAGGGTGATAAGGGTATTGTTACCTTTGAGCAGTAGAATACAGGGTGATAAGGGTATTGTTACCTTTGAGCAGTAGAATACAGGGTGATAAGGGTATTGTTACCTTTGAGCAGTAGAATACAGGGTGATAAGGGTATTGTTACCTTTGAGCAGTAGAATACAGGGTGATAAGGAGCTTAATGAAGAGAACTTTTTTGTGTTTTGTTTGAAGTTTTTGCTAGAGTATATTCAGATCTTACTCATGTAATTAAAAAAAGGAAATGTGCTGGAGTTTAAAAGTTGCAAAAATATAAGATTAGTACATAGTTACTGTGTGGTTATTATAAGTGAGGCATTATGTTAGACTGTGGAGGTATCTACTCCCACAGATAAATAAACTTAGTTTCTTTTTCTCTTTTTTAAATTTTTATTTATTTATTTTGGTGGCTGACCAGTATGGGGATCCAAACCTATGACCTTGGTGTTACAAGGCTGAGCGCTAACCGACTGAGCTAACCTGCCGGCCCCAAAATAAACTTAGTTTCTGATCTCTGGGAATTTATGACTTACTGTGAAGATTACCTAGGATTAAGAGAAGAAATAGTGAGGCAGAGTCAAAGAGAGTGCCTGAGAGAGGCCAACCCAGTGAAAAATCCTGAAGGAGCTATTGGGACAGGAAAAGATCCAAAAGTATAATGAATGGAGGCCAAAGGAAAGGGGGTGGAATTCAGGGAGAAATGGATGTTTTAAAATATCACAGAATAGTGAAAGAAGAAGAAAACTTAGAAGTCATTTGGATTTGGCAATTAAAAAGCCATTCCTTCTGTTTCTCAAACGCACTGGGTCCATTCTTCTAAGGCCTCTGTTTTTTTTGCTCACTCTGGTGTTCTTTGCCCCCAGATATTCACACAGCTAGCTTCTTGTTATTAAGGTCTCAACTCAGTGTACTTCCTCTGAAGCCTTCTCTTACCACCCAGTCACAATTAGTCACCCTCTCCTCAGTCACTCCCTCTCATTCTTTCAGTCAACAAATATTTGTTTAGCACCCACTGTGTGCCAGGCAGTAGTGCTATAGTATAGAACATAACAGACAAAATTTGCCTTCTTTGTGCCTTGTATTCTGTAAGATTTTGTCTTTATTTTCTTCTTAGTACTGTCCACTATCTAAAAATTTTGTTTGCTTGTTTATTTGTTTATTGTCTGTCTCCATGAATGAGAACAAGGACCTTGTTTTTCTTATTCACACTATATTTTTGGTACATGGAACAACTGCTTGCACATAATCCATGTTTGATAAATGTTGCAGAATAGGTGAATAATGATAATCTTGGAGAGAGAACCATTTTAATACATTGACAAGGTAGATTTATTGCCTTACCAATAAAACAGGAGTGAATGGAAGGCAGAATGAGCAAACATGGTCAACTTTTGTGAGAACATTGGTAGCAAATAAGGGAAATAAGATGGTGGCCTGATAGGAAAATAAGTTTAGCAGCAAGGTGATTTGTTTTACATAGAAGAAATATGAGCATATTGAATGTAGGCTCTTTGCGGCAGGGTGAAATTGTCTAGTTCATTGCTGTATCTCCATTGCCTGGTGCCACACCTCATATGTAGTAAGTGCATAATGAATATCTGTTGGAAAATGACTGCTTTTAAACTTGAGTGGATGATCCAGGAGAAAGAGGCTGAACATGCAAGGGCATTGGGGGAGGAGGTGAATGAGATTATGCAGGAACATAGTACCTACTTCAGTTTAAAAAAGAAGAAAGCCATCTCTTGGAAGAAAGTTGGAGGGGAAATGGGGGAGGCATAGAAAAGTTGAAGTAGAAGGGACAATGGTAAAGGAATTCTTGGCTGTTACTCTTCAGCTTTTTAGCATGTAGGAAGTGTTGACCTCCACTGAGGGGCAAGGAGAGTTTGAAGGCTTGAAGAAAGTTGCAACTCCTGGTCAAGAAGAGCTGCATCAGGGATTGGCCAGGAGAGCAGTAAGAGTTTATTATTCTCTGATGACTGAGCAAAACAACTCCTGATGCTCATACTTAAATGTTGTGCCTCATTTCAAGGCATCCATTGTGTAAAGTATTTATTTATTTGTTTCTGATTAGTATATCGAGAATTTGGAAAAATGTACTAAACTTGAAGTACTGAATCTCAGCTATAATCTAATAGGGAAGATTGAAAAGGTGGACAAGCTGTTAAAATTACGTGAACTCAACTTATCATACAACAAAATCAGGTGAGTGACTACTTCTTTAGATAGCATTGCAGGGTCTTTGTTATAGAGGTAGATTAATGCTATCCATGTTACTGAAAGAATCCTTTGAAACAGCAAGTATTTTGATCCTTATTCATTGATAGTCTGGCCCTTCATATATGATAACTATATGTTCTGGCATTACTAAATACAGAATAATATGTAGCATTATCAAAGAAGGAGATGCATATTTTGAATACCATAGTTTATCTTAATTCCATTTTTGACGGGAAGTTTCCCCGGATATCATCTATGGTTCACTGCCTTATTATATAAAGAATGTTGACATGAAGCAGAATGTTTTTTTTTTTTTTTGTCTTTTTCCGTGTCCGGCAACGGATCGCAACCCTCAGTGTTGCCCCCGCACCAGACCGGGGACCGGCAACGGGACTGCAACCCTCGGCGTTGCTCCCGCGCCTCGCTCAGCCAGTGAGCAGGAACCGGTCCGTATGTGGGATCCGAACCCTCGGGCGGGAGCGCCACCATGCTCCCAAGCGGTGCACTGTAGCAGTGCGCCACTGGGCCAGCCCCAAAACTTG